ATTATAGATGTTGGTCAGTACTGTCTCATACCTCTGTGAATGAAAACTATTTTGTATCTGCTCTATGATGCATAGTAGTGAATGTACATTATCAGAGGTGTATTTAATGATGTTGCTCAAGATGATGATTGAGAAGCTCATAAAAACTGGTGTCTGATACCTCAAAAATAACAGAAAAAGCAGAGGAAACATAAAAGCAAAAAGAAATTGTAGCTTAAAGAGGTTTTGGGGAGGAGTTCTCAGCTCTAAAGGGAACACAAATGTGGGAAATAGAAAACAAGATTTCAAAAAAAATTATGCTAGCTTTTCCAACCAATTTGAAGGGGTTTGTTTGACTCTTCACCCATCACCAATTACACAAAGTCAGGATTCACTAAGGTTTTGTGACAATGATACAGCCCTACAGTGCAGAACTGAAATATTGGTCCCCCTTCTTGGGATTACAGCCAGAAAGACAAGAACTGTCCTAAGTCTGTTATAAGATAGGTTATAAAAAGACAAATAGTCTTGTTTGTCCCTTTATCCATGAGCTATCGGGGGGGAGGTTTGACCTGTTAAAAAATATATATGATCAGCACCAATGGAGTAATTTCCTGCTACTAATAGAAAAAAAAATCATAAATCACTCACCCTTAAGAAACTTGTGAGAGGGTGTGTTGGGTTACACTTTATGGATCACTTTAGTGCCCTGACAAAAGCCAATCTAGTAGTACCAGATTTTTCCTCAGATCAATTTCTACATTTGATTTCAGTAACCACTGGGTGGACCATGACCCTGCAAACACATTAAGTTCAGAAAACTGCCTCTAGAGTTTAGTTTGGTAACTTCAAAGTATCGAGGGATGACACATGCTTCATAATATATAGGCCTCTGTGTTCTTATTCCATAGTATTAATGGGATTCCATATGTATTTACATACATGGTTATGTATACCCTGATCATGCTGAACTCCTCCCCCTCACTGTTCCCAATTCTTAGTAATCACTATTTTAGTTTCAGGTCAACTTTTTTTTTTTTTTTTTTTAGTTTCCCTAAAGAGGGAACATGCATTTCTTATCTTTATGTGTCTGGTGTATTGTACTTAATGTAATGTCCTCCAGTTCCATCCATTTTGCTGCAAGTGATAGGAGTTCACTCTTCTTTGTGGCTGAATAATACTAGATTGTGTATATATGCCACAATTTTAATCCATTCATCAATTTATGGGCACCTAGGATGATTCTGTATTTTAGCTATTGTGAATAGTGCTACAATAAACATGGGTATCTTTTTGGTATGCTGACTTCATTTCTTTTGGATATATTCAAAAGTACCACAGCTGGGTCATATGATAAATCTATCTGCAGTGTCTTTATTTTAAAGAAAAAGATTTGAGGCAGGAACTGCTGTTTCTCTTTTCTACCTCACTTTAAGGGCTCATTTTTCTGTAAACTCTCAGGTCAGTGTCTCTTTTACATCATTGTCTCTACTAGGTAGTATTCCCTTCATGTTGCTAACAAGGAAGGAGAGAGAAGGTGGCTTTTGTGAAATTATATTTTGTTCACAGAACCACCATTTCCAGGCATGAAATTGCTTTAAAGAAAAATTTCTGACCCTATGTAACTGAAAATTATTAATCAAGTTAGAATCAGAATACTGGAAAAAATCTACTCAATATAAGAATGATACAAATCATATTGAAAGAGACCAAGAGGACTGACCATTGTTAATACTTGCATGGGGTCTGAGATTTTACCCTACTGTAAGCTCACAGTGTACCACACACAGTTCATAGATGCTGGCAAAAGACACTCACTACTCCTGATTTAAGAGGAAGTTTTTACTCTCAGTAACAATAATAGCCAGAGTAGCAGCATTTTTCGGTGCTGTTTTTCATGGTCAAGGTTTTAGAAAGTCCAATTCTGATAAAGTGTTGTAAAGAAGGTCAGATGACACTGTCCGTGTAGTGGATTGCATTCTAGGAGATGGAACTCTGAGTTTAGGGAACCCAAACCTTTTATAATAGGCAGTAAACATACTTGCTTTTTACTCTGGAAAGTGGCACTATCTCTTCCTTTCAAGGATGTTTGCTACACATATGAACACTCTTGAAAAGATGGTCTGGAACAAAGGCAACCACTAGCCACAGGCATTCACAGACAGGAGGGATCTCTACAAAATTGACTCCAAACAACCGAGTCCTATTAATTGACTCCTAACATGGAATTAAAAACATGTGCATAAATGTGATCGAGCCTATGTAGCAACTTTGTTGTAAGTGTACCTTTATTTTCCCTCCTGATATTTTCTAGGACAATGCTATCTAGGCTCCATGGAGTTACCACTCACTTCCATTCAAAAACAAATATTGGAAGATATTTTTTTTTAAA